CACACAGACAACCCCGTGACAATATGCGTTTTGTAACGCTGTTACACAGCACAAAACGCATAATTATTATGGTATAAGTAGGAAAGGGTTGGAGAACTATGAAATTAGAAAAGTTTTTAAAAAAGCTGGAAAGAAATGCATATGACTTTACCATTTCTTTTTTCAGTACGACGTAAGAAATGTGTATGACTTTAGCACTTTTTTCCCCGGTACGTCAGTTGTGGCAGGATATAAATTTACCAAGCTAATTAGATGGGAATGAGGGAACGTTCGCGAATAAATGATAAATTAGATTAAATTAAACGATAGGGAATGTATTTCGATGTTATGATATTGAAAATACACGTCTTACCTCTGCCATTTACCAACTATTAGCATAAACTATTTCATTTAAGGTCTGAGACGATTGACTGAAGAAAACGGGCTGTTGGTTGTTGCAACGGCAACCGCAAAACGTGAATTGATCAATCTTTTCTCAATGAATACAGGCCAACGGTTTTTTGCGCACGTGGAATGTATTGGGAAACTTTCTTTGGTAAATTTTGCTATCATTATCAGGGGAATCATACTAGTGTTTGAAAGACTGGGTATTAACCACCACAGCCCATTTGGTAATTCACATTGGCTCATTCTCGGTCCCTCGTAACATTTGCAGTAGAAGCTGCATTACTTTTTCTTTGCCTACTGCTGGTAAGCTGACTTTCCCTGTACTTCATTTTTTCGGAAAAAACCGGAAATGTATTATATTCTGCTCATTTACGCGGGTTTTGCATCGCATAGTTGGATTTTGGATCGGCTAAAATTCATGGTCTAATCTCCCAGCTGTGCGGTTGGCAACCTACTTTGTCGCGTGTTGTATTATCTATTGATGAACTTTCTGACATTCGTTCTGCTTCGATTCAACGATTCTTTCGGCAGAAGCACCGTTTTAGGATACCGTTGGTATATGCTTGTCCGGGACTTAGCAACTGAGATAACTTATCGATAATGGATAACAAATAATAGTAAGCAATAAACGTAATATTAAATCTATATTAATGAGTACTGTCTGCCATATCAGAGGGGCTGTATAAGTTCTGTGTAATCTAGTTTTTCCGAACCTAACTTCATTTTACGCTTTTTTGTAAATATATGCAAATGCAAAACGCATATTGGCAAAAAGTTGTCTGTGTGGTTGTGTGTGTTCGCACTTTTTGTCACATCTTCGATTAATGTAGTTTAGTAATTTGTGCCTACTCTAAACACAGAAGGATTTGAATTTTAAATTTTTCGGGAAATCGGTGTAAAAATGTGACAATACCTTGCACCGTTTACTCATAACAAGCAATCATCAATAACAAATGGCTTAGAACAGTGACTGAAAGTTCCATCAGTGTGGCACCGCTTCGCGCACCCGCTTTTCTCATCCACCAGCTGGACAGCCAAATTCACAGTTTTACGGTGGATCCAGGAGGCACGATTGCAGATGATAATCCAGTAACGACCTGGCCTTGTGCATTCGATCGAATCCGCCTCGTGGACAATTTTTGCTGCCAACCTTAGCCATGGATAGACCATTTCAAGCTTATCACAGTCAATCTCTTTCTCTTGCCGTGAACCACTGATCGTTCCAATAACTGATGAATTTTGCTCCACCGGCTAAAATTAGAGCTATTTTGAGCCTTTCTTTATGGATGACTTTCGCTCTGACGAAAGCTTGGTTACTGAGCTTTACTTCAAAGTAAGTAAGTTTCAAAATTTATGAACTTAAATATTTCTAAAGCGAACTAAAGCGACTAACTTAGTCGACTTAGTCGCTTTAGTTCGCTTTAGAAATATTTAAGTTAGAAATATAGTTAGAAGTTAGAAATACACGTTAGAAATAAAAAAAAAAACTAAACTAAAGCGAACGAAAGTCGCTATTTCATCAATTCTCAGATGCATGCAGTTGTAAGTGCATGTCGAGAGGTTCAGTTCATTGCAAAATGGTGATCAAATCTTAACAAGGATTCTCAGCAGCCAGTCAAGCTTTTGCCGTCCCTCTAAAAGGCGTATAGTTTGCTGTAGGTTGTTCTCTATTCTTAATATCCTCCATACCACTAAACAGCTGCTCAAATTACTATTCGCTGGTCAGGCTGACATTGGTCCATAGGCTTAGTCAAATAAAGTGCTGTGGGAAAATTATATTTCGGAATTTTGTAAATGTTTCTCTCGTCAAATTTCAGGCCTGAAGAAGTACAGCGGTCATATTTCATACTCTTTAGGATTGGGTCTCGAAGATAAGAACTTTAATATGAAAGATTCCATGTCAATAAGAAATCTGGGGAAAAAAACCTGATAAAAGACACCAAAATAAATATCCCCATCACTGATGAAGTACCACTGCAGCTTTGCGCTCTCCTTCACGTCCACATGGATTTGACGGCGTTTTTTTGGTGAGATTACAATTGTTTCAAGAGAGTTGAGTAGGTCTTGATCTGTTGCCCCGGAGCACTGCTCAGTTGTCCTTTTCAGTGCTGACTGGCATATAATCCTCTGTAAATTGCACGTACCTCAAGTCGTTTAAGCAACCAAGATTTGTAAATAACTGAGCACATGAAAATGTCGAAGACCAGTACTCTTCAGAATCCAATGGAAGATGAGAGGGGAGGGGGAGGAGAGAGAGAATGGAATATATGACTCAAGCAGCCGTGTTGAGGATGTCATCTTTTTACCAAGAAAGAGGTGACGATTGATGGCATTGCAACATTCATATGAACTAATGAATTGAAGCTACGAGTTCTTTGTAGCGAAAAAATTAGTGATAACTTCGTTGTCTACAGAAAAAAAATTATGGATTTTGATCGAGTTTTTTACCGGATTTTATAGAATCCCTTGTCTAGCAAAATTTCTAGTTTTAAAAATGAGCGACAGTGTAGGGTCGCTACAAAATCATGTATCTTTGTGATTAACAGCAAATGAAGAAAAAATTACCTCATTTTTACCTCCTAAAGTCACTGGAATGTCTTCAATTTTAATTTCTTTTAACAATATGTGCAGAAAATTTTCGTCATGCAATCGGAAACGTTCGGTAAAACCGTCGGGCATCATCGCACGGGCTATTCTGTAGGGGACATGAATCCATTTCGAAATGTTCACCATCTCCAGAGGGCTTACCTGTAAGCACCATGTACAAGCTCGAGAGGAAAAGACAGTTAATAATGGGTGAAGTGGCGCGCCCAGAATGAGTGGCTCTCATTCGTGCTATCGTTTGCTCCCAGCAACGTAAAAATTGATTGTACTGGAAGAAATAGTTGGGAAAAATTGAGAGGAGACGAAAAAAAAATCAGTTAGAGGAAATTCAGCAGGAAAGAGACATAAATCAGCTAAAGAGGCGCGAAATTTGACACGGTGAATATTAAAATACTCGGAAAGCTGATTTTTCCCAGAAACCAATTGTTTACTAATATTCTCTTCCATCAATTTCACTCTTGTCCTCCATTCTGTTTCTATTCAGTTTTAATACAGACTCACTTGTGTCGTGAAGCGACAGATGGATTTAAAAATCCTAAAAGTTTATGCTAGGATTGCTAAGAAATGTTACATTTTAAGCAGATATGAAGAATGACATAAGAACTTCTAATTCTGAGCAATGTAGTGGCAAATTTGATTTGATACTAAATCAGAACTGATTAACTGTTTGTCGGAGCTACTTTTCAGTTAGGACGACGCATGGCTTCCGTAAAAAACGACTGAGGGAAATCTTCCCTATTAAACTCATAAACTGTAACAGTAATTGAGGATCCTGTTTCATCTAATAACTGGAAAGATTTTTATGCCAAAACTTAAGATAAAAATTGCGGAATACTAACCAGTTCGGGATAATTCTCAAAATGAAGCAGTTGCGAGTAATAAGTTAAGTTTCCGTTTGTGACAAAAATCATCGTGAACGGATTGATTTCATATCCGCTGAGATCGACGATATGCCTCAGAGCACTCAGTCTCCCAGTTTTCTCTTCCTAAATCAAAATTTGCTCGGTAATACGCAAATTCGAATACTGCCACTCAAACCCAGTGCCATCGTACTGCAGATATGATCGAAAACGATAGGTTAAGCAGCTGTTCTTTATGAAATTCTGATACGATTTCCCCACGGACACTGTGCTTTTGCCCTCGGTGAAGAGCTACTTTGTCCTGAGGGGCTCTTTCTGTAGAAGTGCTGCAAAGACAGCGATTTTACCTGTCTTTTTCACCCTTCCCGTCCCACTCGCCTAACCCGTCTTTTTGTTTTGTGGCGAATCTGAATTCGACTAGGCGGTCATTGATGAGACTCCCCCGAAAGTCCCTCTTTACCTGCTGATTCACTCTTCGCAGCATATGCTCGAACTGTTGAAACTGATAACGTATAGACTGAGAACTTCGCAACAGATGTGCCAATGCCTGCAATAAGATTACACCTGTAAGGCTTACACCCTGGATTTGCTGTATTTTTCTGTGCTGGCAAACATAGTGCAGTGTAGAAGAGAATAATAGACAGGATGTAAGAATGATATGTATTTAAGAAAATTTTAAGCGGAGAAAGACTTAAAAAGGAAATTAAAAGAGAAATAAAACTAAATTCATTATAAACTGAAAAGTATTTAATTATTGTACATATAATGTTCCCGTCTCGGCTCCACAGCATATATGGGAAAACCCCGGTTGCGCTGCTCGTAA